GGCGAGGATTCCAGGAGGCAGCTATCTTCTTCGCTGGCATCCGTCGTCTTTGCTTCACTGCTCTCTCCGGACGGCCGGGGGTGGGGGGGCAGGAAGAGGGGCAGAGAGAAAGAGAGCCCTTTCTTCTCCCCTTTGATTTATACCCACTTTCCTTGGGTCCATCCCCTAGGTCAACCCACAGACCTATGTATCCCATGTACAGGGAGGGGTAAGGTGTTTCATGGGATGATGTCACTCGCATGATCAGGACAGCCCTCGTTAGCATATTGAGGGGTGTCAACTTTAATATGCATTTCGTGGATAATGAAGCAAAGTTCGTTCACTGGACACATGGCCCTTGAAATCTGCCCAGGTGCCCCAGGGCAGAGCCGTCCTGTCTCCAAAGGGCTCTCTCCCCCAGATACATCGGGCAGCCTTATCAGCTTTGGCCTCCACAGAAAGCACCCTGTGACTCATAGTTTTGTCTTGGGAGTGTTTGAGGCAAATCTTCAATCAGCCTCAACTTTTGCTTTCCCAGGCTGTTTGTCTTAGTTTTTCACAGGCCTGGTTGCTCGGCTCTCACATCAGCACTAAGAGGTTTGTGACATTGTAATTAGGTCAGCTGCCTATCACAAAGCTGATGTGTGCACACTTCCATAAGCCATATGCTGAAGGTGACTGTGCCCATGTTTAAACCAATATCCTGAGAGTGGAAGGCTATGGCCGTACCTGTAATTCATACCCATAGACATGAAATTCTGCTCATACTCTTTTTAACTATAGGTTTTGTATAAATCCTCTTTACTCAGGATTTTTGCTGTTGGAAACTTCCTCAGTCCTTTCAGTTAATGTTTAAAAAGCAAAAAAAAAGGACAAAGTAATCAAATTAAGAACATCACAGAAGAAAACTGTCTACAGATTCTTAATCTTCAAGACCATTGGAAATTTGAAGTTAAGGTAATCATTCAGCAGACCTTATAAATCATGTCCCCTGGAAAGAATATTCATGATTTTTTTTTCTGTAAAAGAAGGCATCATTCAAAAGGTATTTGAGCTCAAATGTGGTGAGAAGTATGGGAAGGCCTGATGTCATAGGGAAAGGTCAAGTTTGCTAAAGCTCTGATGCATTAATACAGTATGTTTTTCTTTAGTCTTTTAGTTTAGGTTTTCTTGATGTCTTTTGGGTTCTGGAATTTTGAGAGCATGGTTATATCACATGCCAGGATAACTTCAAGGTCCGGAGACTGATACATTCCATGTCATTTTGCTATTTTCTGTCTCCCCTTTACCCTGAGTGAAAACATGCTGCATGGTGTCTGCTATTAGAGTCAGAGGGAAGAATGAATGAGCTTCAGGTATACCATCTTCTTTTGATATGACTGACAAAGATAATCAGGGTTGTAAACTTGCTTGTTTTCTGGGTTTGTAAGCTGACTCTTGCCACAAACTTACGTCATTTGACTGTTGTGGCTATAACTGGATACCCATCTGCAGTAAGCTTGTTTAAATGAAACTTTGTGCAGATCCTTTGTCCTTTGTCTTGTTAATGGATGCTGCTTCTCTTAATTAAATGTCATTCCCCATCTCCTTTAAGAGGTTCACTAGAACATAAAGGTGGCCTGAATGTCTTTGGTTTTCTAGTTCTAATCTTCCATTAGCCTTTGACCTTGAAACTGAGTTCAGTGCAAGATTGTGTTTTAACAGTGTAGTGAAATGAGGCAGGCTTGTAAAGAGGCCAAAGTAAATTACACCAATGCCATGAATTGTTAGGTGTATGTTTTTGTCCTGGTTCAGCTAGGATAGGGTTCAGTTTCCCCAGCAGGGAGGGGGAAGGGATCTCCAGCCGGGTTATTCATACCATGCTGACGTCAGGTCTGGCGCGGGAATTTTTTCCTTTGTGGCTTTGGTTGTGGGGAGCATTGCGAGCGAGCTGTCTATAACCTTTGCGGTATTTCTCTGTATATCTTTTGTTTACTGTTATTACTGTTTATTGTTGTTATCGTTGCTACTGTTGTTGTTCAGATTGTTTATCACACTGTTGTACTAAATTTCTTCTTATTTTAACCTGGGGTTTGTGCCCTACTTGTGTTCGAGGGTGGGGGAGGGACAATGGCAGTGTGGTCTCTGGTCCCGGCAGGGCTTAAACCAACACAGTTTTACTTGTGGAATCTGAACAACAGACATTAGTGCTTCTCATAATTCTTCCCTTTAAAGTGAGAGATTTGGAGTAGGGTGTGGCAGGTAGTAGACTGACCAATTTTTCTTATACTGCTGACAGTTAAACTAGTCTTTATTTGTGGTGTTCCTTTTCTGTTTAGTTTTATGCTTAGAATATATTTTCAAGCATTACTTGAAAAAATAGCAAATGTATTTCACAGCTGTGAGGTCACAATCGTGAAGTGAGGTCTGAACTTCTGAAGCTGTAGATAGGACATACCTTTTGCAAGAGGGGATGTTTCTTATGTTCATCTTTAAGAAAGTGCTATGCAGTACTTTGTGCCAGATAGTACATAAACTGCATTAAGCAGACATGGCATCAGATGTGTAACAAGCACACTTGCTATGCTAATTCTTTATTTGTATAAGCTACACTTTGAAGACTTCTAGCTGCTACTTTTCCTTTGGAAACTTTGTTTGGATGTGCAGAAAGCAAGCCAACTCATTCTTAACAGAACAGCTTCTGAATGTGGCAGTATGATTTATAAAATGTGGGGATTTTCACTGGAATTAATCCAAACCTTCAAAATACACATTTATAGTTGCTACTCATTGCAATGTTGGTTAGGAAAGTGGTATCCTAATTAAGTTTATCTGATACTTGGTTTTATACAATTTCATGGTTGTAGCATGAAAATGTTTATTAGAGGTGCAAAACAGTTATGTACAGTATAATCTGAAAAGAGGATCAATCATCATAGCACAACAGGTCTTCATTAGGATGGAGATACAAAACGTTTAAGTGGTAAGCTCTTTTTTTCCTGTGGATAACATGTATACGCAGTGCTTGGAGGGTTCTTTCCAGCTGTGTCTTTTGCTTGATTGACCAATCCATTTCTTCTGAAGCCAATCAGATGTATAATAAAGACACTTAACAAGTGGAGAACGTAAAACAAAGAGCTGCTGGATTGTCACTGCTTAAAAATAGCAGCTAGATAAAAAGAGCTGCTTGGCTAGTCTGCTGAGTTCTGTGAAGACTTGTAGGCTCTATTGATTCAAAATTGTCATGAGTACTAAGTTTCATCTCCCAGCAGTAGCAAAATGGGTGGGAAGTGTAGATTAGGGCAAGCATAAATCAATTTGGTTAAACTGTGGTAGCCTGAAATAAAATTAAAATTAGAAATCAAGATGAACATCAGACAAAGCAGACTCTTTGAAACAGTAAATCCTGGCATTTCTATGTTGGATCACTCCAAGAATGTAAACAAGAGGGGAGGATGTACTGAGTTTAAAATTCAGTAGTAGTACTTCTTTAGCAAAGAAGAGGATTTACAATTTCGTTTGGAGGTAGGGGACTTCACACAGCAGGTAGACATTCCCAACAACTTTCATAGGTACATGTTTCTATGAGAAGCTTGCCTGCTAATTTGTTATAACAGCAACAGAATAGACACTTCCTCTCCTTGCCAGAGGTGAGTTTTTCTTGTAATTTTTTAAATTCATGTTTTAAATGTAACTTCTGTTCATTTTCTGTTCCTTTATGTGTGGGCAATGCAGAGAACACATCATCTTCATGAAGTGCCATAAAAGTGCTATGGAAATAACAAGCTGGAGTAACTGGAGAGCAGAATCTTTGTTAAATAGGAGAAGGAAATAATAAGAACAGGAGTAGAAATGAGGTTCACTGAGAAGTGGAGGTAATCTAAAATCAAAGAAAGGAACTACCACAGTAAAACATTGTGACTTGGCTGGTGTTGGATCAGGAGGAGGGAGCTAACTCAAAGGCCACATAGTTTGTCATATGAAATCTGGTTTGTGGAAAAGGTGGAGTCAGGCATAAACTTCTATAGGGATTTGGCTGTATGTTGTGGTTTTCCTCTTGTGGGTCAGATGTAGCAACAGGGACATGAGTTGTCAAGAGCATAATTAGCTGCCCATCTCTTGCACAGGTCAGGTTAGAGGAATGGTCTCCATTGTGCCATTCAGAATACAGTGCTAGCACTTTTTTGTGCATAGTTTTTTCTAAGTGGCTGTGAACTAGTTTTTTCAAATAGCAGTTTTGGAAGATAGCAGTTACACTGCAATAACAAAGGCCTACAAGGCCATAATAAAAGGCCAGTAAGGAATTTAAAATAAGGTGGTGAAAAGCCTTATTGTTGCTTTAGGAAGACTGAAAATCCTCTGAAAATGTACCAAAAATGCTTTACAGAGAAAGGAGAGAGGTATGTGTGTTTAGTGACTTTGGGACTGAACACTTGCTTTGGGGATTTGACAGGAATGGTTTGTGGATCAGAGAAATAAAAAGCATGTGTAGTAAGTATACAGTTACGTTTGGCTGGAATGAAAAACAGAACTTTAGCTCATGTTTTAAAGTTCTCTGCACCTTTTTTTACTACAGAAATAGTGATTATTTGTTTGCCAAAGTCGTTTTCCTCTATGCAGGTTGGAGAACAGACGGACATATATGTCATGTTCTTCCTCTCCACTGGTATCCTTACAGAGGTTTTTATTTTCTATTAGGTTTTTTTAAGCCAGAATAATTTATATGAACTCTGCTAGTAATCTTTTAATAATGAACTGTATACTCCATAGAGGAAACAGAGTAGGAGAGTAAGACTGGGTGTGTAGTGAGTAATGAGGAAGGGTATTTTTTTCATTGGATTTGTTTACCAGTTTATGTAGACTGCTATAGTATTAAAACCCGGAAGAAACCATCACTGTAGAAGAATGTGTTTAGGTGTTTCAGCACCCAATGCTTAGTGTACATAGTCAGCTGAACAGGGAAGAGTATTCTTCATATTTTGTCTCTGTTGCTTATTTAGCACATGACTGTGATTTAATTGCTTCATTTTCATATCCTTTCTTGTGTCCACACATCTCTTGAGTGCTGTGATGTAGTTTTAGGAAAGGTACTAACAGGCCAAGCTCTCTCGTTCCCTCTTCCATTTGGATTTTTGATCAGTCACATCTGGAAATGGAGCTTTCCTGCAGGCCAAGGTCTCAGTCTTGGTTGTGAACTGATTTTTCAGTTCACTCGTGTTTGAGTGCTCAGATATGTTTCCAACTTCTCGGCCAAAGAGAGCTGGTGTTTAAGAATGTTGAGATATTCTCTGCTTGCTAACCATCCCAAGAACTTTTGGTAGCTCACATTCACCTCGCTGCTAGAAACAACTGTGGACAGTTAGTAGGAAATACCTAATCATAAAAGGGAGTAAGTGAGGATCTGTCTTCTGGCATGGATGGTGAGGAGAAAAGAAAGAGTTTATTTAAGATGATACTTTAAAAATTTATGGGAGGGTTTGGTTGTGTTACATATTTAGTAGCAACTCAGCTCAATAGGCTAGACAGCCTTTTATGTTCCCAAATTCAAGTTCTGCAGTCTCTTGAGACATAATCACATCAATCACTTGGAGAAAACTATTGGAAAATTTGCCTTTTCTTCAGAACTGAGGATCAGGTGAAAATGTTTAATCACCTTTTGCTAGATGATATATAGATAGAGTAATGTTTGTGTTTGTGGATATGAAAGTAGTTTCTTATTTATTTTCTGTCAAGTACAAAGGTGGATTATAGAAGGTCTAGTGTCCCTGGTTTACATTTTGATCTTGAACTGGGGGGTACTGTTACTTTCTGCCAAAAAATCTCTATCATTAGAACATTTTGTTTATTGCATATGAGAGTAAGGTAGGTAGATATGATGGTAAAAGCACATAAAAATAGCCAGTTCTGAAAAAGATTAGTTTTATCTTGTTCTTTAGTTAAGTTCTGATTTCTTCTTAATAAAGTAATATGGAATATCT